CATTTATATATATATATATATATATATTTGAAATAAATGTACAATTTATATATTTCTATGTACACACATTTATTCATACAGAAATTCTAAAAACACAATTATCAATTTCATAATTTAAATCACATACATATTTTAATGTAATTTATATATATATAATTGTCTCTATAATTTGTGTAAAATGTAACACACACACACACATTTATTCATACATGAATTATAAAATATATTTATATATTTCACATTCTTTAATTACATAATATCACGCACAAATATTTACATATATATTTACTTAATATGTCAAATAAATGTAAAAATACGTACAAATTGGTAAATGTATTTTTTCATGAAATAAATTATGTATATTTTATTTGGTTCACCTGACAGGTCCTGCCATTAAGACACCTGTGATGCAAGTTAGGAGACCAACGGAGGCCACGGCCATCTGATGGTCGCTTCCGGACTGCCAGACGAGTCGAGCGTTCTCCACAGCCTTTTCCGGCAGAAGACCCACCAGATCATCCCACATCATTCTGCCCTCCTCAGCCTTGCTTTCACTGTCATTTTGGAGGGGGCGTTTAGGTGGGGTGACTCCTCCGCTTAAGGTCTGCCTGACGGAGGAGGCCACATCTCCAGATCCAGACAAAGCCACAGCTACAAGGAAGGCACAGGCGAGAAATGCAAGGACTCTGAGCAAGATCAACCAGGCAGGAGTGGTGAGTGAGTAGTTGTTCTGTAGAAAAGGATAAAAAAAAATGACAAAATACAATTGATACTTGCAGCATGCCAAGCCTGATTAAAAACTAAACTTGAATCAACAGTAGCTGCACAATAAAATACTCATGAAACAAAAGAAGCAAGAGAGAACAGGTCTTTCCTTATCTCTAGCAATCAATTCCACACATTTATCTGCGGTTTAAGAAAACACTAGTAACAGACTGGTCATTAATCACACTTGATACACATTACAAACGATACCTAGGTTGTAGTAAAATTGCAGTTTTATCTGGGCAACATCTAAATTCAGTGCAATTTCTCCATGTCAAGCCCTTGGCACCTAATCAAACTCTTAGCAATTCTAGAACATACACTTCAGGGGTGCTATAAAAGTGGAATTTTCTGTATTTTTCATGTCAAGTCTTGTGGCTTGATTTGAAACCATATAAATATATAGAGATCACCACCTTAATAAAGGCTTTATCAGCATCCCGACTGCGTCTGAGCTGGTGGTTGAAGAGCAGAGCCCGCAGCTGTCGGTTCTGGTGTTTGATGTAGTACTCCACTGCTGTCTGGCACGGCCGGCACAATTTGAAGGTCTGCTCAAGGTGGTGCTTATATACCTCGATCTCCTCATCATAGTTTTCCTGTCATTATGGGTAAAATATTACTTTAAAATTTGCAATTGCTTGCATGTTACTTGTTTTTGAGCTGATGATTACATACATATAAAAAATTATTTAAGATGTTTATTCTAGCTCAAATAAATACGACTTTGAAGTATAGAAATGTTTAGATGTCTACTGAATGCCATATTTAATACATGACATTTTTGCCTCAAAATTATATAAAAAGCATAAAAGCAAATCTTATTCAGAAACGTTTTTGCCTCAAAATTGTATAAAAAGCATAAAAGCAAATCTTATTCAAAAACGAGCTTTAGACATTGGTTATCTTGAAATGAAGAGATTAAATGGGTGAATTATAAACCTACATCATCCCTGGGGATGAACGAGGCCAGCTGCTTAATCTTCAGTGTCTGGTTGTTGTTGCACTTCTTGCACAGAAGCATTTGACAGTTGACCCACTGCAGAGTCTTCGGTGTCTCCGGGACACCGGCCGAAACGCCATGGTTGAGATGCTCCATGTATTGAGCAGGAATGGGTTTGTTGTAGTCCCCGTTCTACAGATCAAAAACAAGCACAAAACAAAAACGCATTTATAGCATATCCAAAAGCTGCATCAGCAACACATTTTTTAAATATAATAGAAAACACACACACACACATACAAAAAGACACTTATAATGCAAGTAATTTTAAAACTTAATTTTACAATATTACTGTATTTTTGATCAAATAAATGCATTCTTGGTCAGCATAAGAGACATCTTTCAAAAACACTGAAAAAATCTTACCAACCCCAAACTTTGGAAGGTAGTGTTTAAATAAATACATGTAAAATGTTATATTTTTTGTCTTTTCAAAACATTTACCTTTAGATAGAACAAAAAAAAATCTTCTAAATAAAGTCAATACCTCCTGAAAGCCATTATACTGTTCACAGTATGGACAATCCCAGCAGTTTCTGTTCCCATAGGGGACAATTGTGTCCTGATTGCTTACTGCACGGCCTATTAAAAGGTGTTAATAAATACCTTGGACTAGAAAAAATATGACTGGTTCAATTTACATCACAGCAGAGCATTTATGCAATACCAATAAAAGAAGGATTAATGTTGGGATCTTCCACTATTGCTTTCAGTCTAGCATTACACGCATCATTTTTGACAGTTTGATAGAAATGAGTCTTTTCCAAATAAGTTGCTCTTACCATGGTAATCAGTTTTCCGTTAAAAAAAAAAATCATAATTACTTAGAAGAGGTATCAGTAATTTAACCACTAACGTTACTGCCTTCAGGAAAAAAAAACCCCAGTAAAAAGCACTGAAGGAATCAGTGCCTTAATTACATTAATTTACAGAAGTAACGATAACTGTAGTACTTATGATATTTGTGGTGGAAAATATTAATTTAACGGTCTATTTTGGTCTGTTTTAAGTACCACAGACTTGCCTAAGCCATTTAACGAAATCTCGCGCGCTTGTTTGTGTAGCGCGCGCCATTGAATATCTCCGCGCGTGCACAAGTATTTTTCATGGCCGAACTGTTGAAAATACTACTGCCAATGCCTGTTAATTATATAGGAAAACGTGGAAAAGTGCAGTGTAGTTCTTAGCCCTAGCTAAATATTCATGTCTGTTATACGAGGCCCAGCGACATTTTACGGGCAGAGACACAATAACGTTACCTGGTTGCAATTCTATAGATTAGCGCTCCTCCTGCAGCAATCGCCGTTGCTCCGACACCTCCAACTACAAATGGCGGGTACTGTAGTAATATTTGGTTAAAGGACTCCATTGCAAAACGGGATATTGACTGTAGTGTTATTCACAAGAAGCCACACGCTGGAGTAGTGCAAGTGCATGCGGCAACAGAAGCATGGTCATATCCAGGTCATGAGTGCGGTATCAAGAGCTGTCAAAATAAAAGTTGGACTTCTAAACGGGATAATAAAAATAATGTTAAATTATTATGTTAATTATATAAATAAAATATCAAAATATATAAAACAATAAAATGTAAAATATAAATATATAATTAATCGATGCAATAACAGACATATCAGTTCTTAAAAAAAATAAATAAATAAACAAATATATATATATATATATATATGTGTGTGTGTGTGTGTGTGTATATATA